AATCTTGCCCCTGCATACTTGTGTTGTTTGCTTACATTCATCCTTTGTAATCTGACCTAGTTTCCACTTTTTATAGGACTCCTTTTTGATGTTTAGATCATGTAAGATCTCCCGGTTGATCCAAAGTGGTCTCCTGCCATACTTTTTATCTGTCCTACACAGTAGGGTAGTTTACTTTTGGGCCCTTAATAATGTCCCTTTAAAAAACTGCCAACTCTCTTCAGTTATTTTTCCTCCTAGTCTTTTTTCTAGACTCAGTCTTTTGTTTTTAGGGTAATTAAATTCATTAGAAGTTTCTTTCAGTAACTGTCAATGTAAATCTAAAGTGCTTGACTGAAAGGAAAATATTTATTCAGGACAATAGTTAACATTTCAAACATTGGTTTGTCAGATACTAGCAAAATGCATGAGACTAACATTTTCTAGCAGCCTTGGTGCAAATATCATCCCTTAAGTTCTCAGAAAGAAGGTGACAGAGTGGCTTAAAGGATTGGTAATAGGATACTTCACCTTTAGGTCACAGTAGGTCATGGGTTCAAGTAGAGCATTGGCTAGTAATGACTAAAAATAATACCAACTGACAGCTATTTGGAGGCCTATGTAGAATGCATTTTTGGCCTTAATACAATGCTACTAGACAGGTATCCATACTCAAAAATGAAAATGAAGATATTTAGCTGTCGTCTTAGAAATGTTTGCATAGGGATGCTGTATTTGGCTTCATTAGGCTGAGGTATGTTGTTAGGAAATAAGATCTTGAATAAGATCCTCCGGAAAAGGGCGCTTTTTCCGGAGGATCGGGGCCAGTGTAGACGCTCTTTTCCGGCTTTTTTAAAAGCCGGAAAAAAGCGGCGGACATTTTTATTTAAATGCCGCGGGGGATATTTAAATCCCCCGCACATTTCCCTATTGCGACTCGTGAAATTAACATGCCCCTTCCGGAAAAGGGGCCAGTGTAGACGTAGCCAATAGGTCAGTGGCAATGAAGTCATAGTTGCCTGACTCCTACACTACTGCCCAGTTCACTAGGGCACATTTCTTCAGAGTTCGCAGCTACTTTCTAACAGTCTAATGAAGTTATGATTCCTTTTTGAGGAAAAAAGCGTATTTTATCTGATAAGTTGGCTGACATAGGGACTGCTGACCTCAGGCAATTTGAAAGATAGCTAATCAGGTGCAGGGTTTGAAAAATCCATTTGCCTGGGGTGAGTATGAAGCTTTCCCTGATAGCTGTGGAGGCTTTAATCATCATATTTTTGCTGAATTTAAACTTTCATTTAAAACCAATTGTTTGTTACGAAGACCTTGCAAATGTGAACTGACATAATAGTGTATTCCTCAGTCTCCTGACAGACAGCGCCAATGATTCTGTTACTGAAGCAGTAACAGCAGAATAAAATTACAAGACTATTAGTTTTACAATGACATTGTGGTTAATACCAAGGCTACGTCTACACGGCACCTCTTATGCAAAAGCCTATGCAAATAATGTGTGGATTAGCATAGTGCCACACTTCATTTACATAATTAGGGGCAGGTTTTGTGCAAGAGGCTTCTGTGCAAAAAGGAGCTGTGTAGACGGATCCTTTTTGTGCTAAAACCCTCTCTTGCACAAGAGCAGTTCTTCTTGAAAAAATGAAGAACAGCTCTTGCGCAAGAGGGGGTTTTTGCGCAAAGGAGCTTTCTACACAGTTCCTTTTTGCGCAAAAGCCTCTTGCACAAAAACTGCCCCTAATTAATTATGTAAATGAAGTGTGGCACTATGCTAATCCACACATTATTTGCATAGGCTTTTGCGTAAGAGGTGCCGTGTAGACAAAGTCTAAGGCTACGTCTACACTGGCCCCTTTTCCGGAAGGGGCATGTTAATTTCACGAGTCGCAATAGGGAAATGTGCGGGGGATTTAAATATCCCCCGCGGCATTTAAATAAAAATGTCCGCCGCTTTTTTCCGGCTTTTAAAAAAGCCGGAAAAGAGCGTCTAGACTGGCCCCGATCCTCCGGAAAAAGTGCCCTTTTCCGGAGGGTCTTATTCAGGATCGGGGCCAGTGTAGACGCTCTTTTCCGGCTTTTTTAAAAGCCGGAAAAAAGCGGCGGACATTTTTATTTAAATGCCGCGGGGGATATTTAAATCCCCCGCGGATTTCCCTACGACGACTCGTGAAATTTACATGCCCCTTCCGGAAAAGGGGCCAGTGTAGACGTAGCCCAAGTGTGTAAATGATTCTTTCTTTCCTTGGCTGCTCCTTGAGAAAACTATGAGTTCAAACAGAGGCACTAGAGCTGGTCATAGGAAAGAATGTCCCAAAAAGGGAGACTGGGAAAAGAGAGAGTAGGGGAGACCTCACTTTTTTTCCTTCTAGTAGTAGCCATGGGGCTCTGAAACGCAAAGAAATACATCCTTCCTCTTTCACCCTTCCACGAACTGAAACTTCAAATTTACAATGTTTATCAGTGTGTGTGCGCTCATGGGGCGAGTCTCCACTCTTGTCTTTTATATCCAGAATTTGAAAAGTTTACTAGATACCTATTAGTTAAAGATAAATATAACTCTCACTAGAAAACACACATTTGTGCAAATGATTACAGGATTGGAGTATCAGCACTATACTATGTAGTTTTTTGCATCAAGCAATTAGAACTGGGAAAATTTTAATTCCTTCATAGTGTTGCCCTAGTTTTGTGGATTAACAAAAAGTCAGTTTTCAAGTGTGCAAAACTTTTTTTTAAAATCTTCCAATGGAAAGCCTATTCATGTGCAATATCCTGTTCTATAATAACTGAACGATAATGTTCAGAATTGTTGGATCTTAAAGATTCCAGGACTTAAAGTGAACAGGACTTCTTAAAAAAAAAAGTCAGTAAACTGAATATACAAAAGCAGAACTGCAGTGTGAACAGGACTTCCTAAAAAAAAAAGTCAGTAAACTGAATATACAAAAGCAGAACTCTTAAACTGCTGTTTTTACATTGTTCTTTTCCTGATAATGGCACTTGAAATACCTCTCACTTTTTTCACAATTGTTGCACTGTATAAAAATAAAGTGCTTAACTTTCAGTGCAGTTCATTTTTATCATAACAATGTAAGTGTGCAATGAAAGACAAGACGGACTAGGATTGCTGTCAACACAAGCCAAACTTTGAGAAAACTCAGTGATTCTGGGAATTATATTTACTGTACACCACTTATTTCCTCCAACTGTTTACAGTGTTTATGGCATACTAGTTAGTAATACCTTTGACAACAACAGTATTCAATTCCAATAGGTCTGCTCAACATGAATTAAGTGTGTTCTTTGCATGGTATTGGCCTGAAACAGGTTATAAACAACGATTTTTTTCTTATTGTTGCAAAAGCAAACACTATATAGGAGAATATAGTTTCTTCCTTAAGTATAAATATAAATAACATTGATTCTTTTAATGTTAAAGAAATAAGATTTACCAGAGAGGGTCATGCTTATGCTAAATCAGTATAGACCTGACAACCTGGACTAGGTTCTTTGAATTTTACCTGTGTTGAGGCAGGTGCACAAATCAGAGGTTCTACACATCAAATTACAAATATGAAGGGAAAAATAAAATGAAAGTAGTATTTTATGGCAGAAGTCTGGGACAATCAGGATTGGAATATGGCATGAGGGTAATTTTTTTTGGCCACTTTTTTAAAAGACCTATCAACTCCACTAGACTCTGTCTCTCTTTCTAAGCCAAGGTAAAGGTATATACCCGGAACTGATCACTCCTTCCACCTCACCAAGCTAGGAGCGGCATCTTAGAGCACACCTCATCCCAGCTTTACTCATAGAAATCCACCTCCTTACGAAGACGTATAAAAAGGCAACCTATAGTCAATATGAAAAACCCTCAGGGCTATAAATCAGCCACGTGGAGCTGTCGCTGCGGTGACTTCCTGCTTCAGATCATTTGAGCTGTTGGGTGCAGCTCAGCAGGGAAAAGGAGAGACGAGCAGCAGAGGGAAACGGGGAGTGGGCAGTTTAAAGGGTAGAGGAGTTAAAAAAAAAAGTTTGTGCCTGCAGCACAGTGACGGACTGAGCAGGGGGCAGCAGCCGGCGAAGGAGGGAAGGCAGTAGCGCTGGAGCCAGGGATTGGGGAAGAGCTAAGGACCAGCAGCTGAGAAAGGCGGCTGGAAAGAGCAGCAGGAGCGGGGGGCGCCCCCCCAGGC